AGTATCTGTTGCTTGTTAGTATCTGTTGCTTCCTGTTGTTTTTGATGAGTATTAATAGGTTTTTATGATTATATCTTGTCTTACTCCCAAGAGAAGAATTTTTTAATTGCTCCTACTACAGATACAACACTAGACGTAATGGTCTGTGTTGTATCTACAGCAATGCTTATCACTTTGGTATATGTGCTACCAAGAGCCATTGTTGATGATGATTCTGATTGTTCTGATGATTCAATAGACTCTAATGATGACAATGCTTGAAATAGAGATAGCGATGTTTCTGGCTCAGAAGATGGAGAGAGAGATGATGGAGGTGACGGAGAAGGTGATGGAGATGGTGAGGGAGAGAAGAATCCAGATGAAGAATTGGTGACAATTCGTGACGAGGAGCGGGTGATAGAACGAACGGGAGGGGTGACAGAAGCAGAAGTAGAAGCAGAAGAAGAAACAGAAGAAGAAGCAGAAGACGTAGAAGCAGATACTGGAACAGGGACAGGAACAGGAGCGAGAACAGATGTGGTAGACATGTTGCAGTATGAGGGCAAAGGGTCATTGATTTGACCCGTCATACTGATCACTCCTCTTCTTTGTAGTTCAAAGACTACGTGTCTGACCAATCTCAGACTTTGTTTAAGAGCCACCCGCCGGGCAGGGCTCGTGGACAACTTAAATCCGCGAGGTCCCCTCCCAGCGGGTCTTCTTAATGCCTGAACGGTAGCCACCTCCAGGCGCTTGGCCATATGAGCCGTGGAAATAAAGTCCTCCGGGCAAGGACGCTTTGTTCCTCTAGGAACAGCTATGGAATAGTATAATATAAAAGAAAAATATTAGAGATGTGCAAAATTAAATTAAATAAAATACACTTTTTCCAGAAACTATTAGTGCATCAAAACGATTTTTATCTTTGCACAAATAATTTCCTGAAAGAGTGTATGAAGTAATTACCTTGGGCCTCGCCTGACCCACCAAACACCTCAGGAGAGGTAACTTGGGTCACAAGAAACCCACCGGTAGCAAAGACACCAATCGCCCCAAGAGGGCTCTTTGCACTCGCACGAAGAGCGCAACGGACGGACTGGGCAGGGTACGGTTGGTAGCGGGAGGCTTTAGCACGCTTGGGAGCGGCAAAGGAAAGGTTGGTAAGAGCTGTGAAGCGTGGCATTGTATAAAACAAGCGATGAAAAAATGGGTACAAGGAGAAAATCAAACGCGAAGAGATTTCTCTTTCTTTTATAGTTTCATTTTTCTTATCAGAATAGAATTCTACGTAAGCATTCCAATCAATATATTGATATCTACACGGAAACTAAGGAGTGCATGCATATGGTTTTTAGTTTATCTTTTATCTCTTTGATAAGCCATAAAGGTTTTCAAAACAAAGTTACATACTCCTTTAACAAAAATTGTTATTATTATTTTCTTTTTACATAGTATATATATATTAAAGAGCTTACTGTCTGGAAAGAACATATTCATATCACTTTGGACTTCTCTTAATCATATTCTTGTATGTTTGAAAGTAGAAGGGCAAAAATCAGCGAATAAAATATATTGTAATATTTTTTTTTGTAAAAAGGGATTTTCTTTTTAAAAAATAAGAAATAAATGATAAGCCAAATTCCATTTATCTGTATTTAGTTTACAATAATTTGATAATCTTTGCATACTTAATGGCACGATTTAGTATTTCCTTTATCTCAAATAAATACTTTCTTTGAGAAAGACCTCTTCAGAGAAAAAAGAAGGCTTTATATTATATTGATTGTATTAAATATTCTTTTCTGTTAAGCTAAAGATTATATATAGTATCTACCTTTTGATAAAAGTATTTGGCTAGAAGTCTCTATTTCTTCTACAGAATAGATATATGCCTTGTTTACAAAAAATTAGTATTTGTGAAGATTTCATATGATTGTGATTATTTTTAGTATATATTGTTATGCAAAAAGACTATCTATTTGCATAAATTGAAAAACGATGTCCATAAATTATAAAGTAAATAAATAGAAAGAACTATCATGTCATCTGGATTTATGCTTCAATTCTATGAACCTCAGTATATCTCTCTTGACCAGCCCAATGGTTAAAATGTTTTCAAAGAAATAGTAATAATAATGCTATATATTTGATATATTAAGTACAATCTTCTTGCCTTAAATAAAGTATATAGATAAAAGAGCAAGTGAGCGTTAGATAGTCAAACGCTCTTTTAGCTTAAAGAATGTTCGTAAGTAATGATACTACTTGTATGCATATTTTCGGAATTACTCTTTGATGTGCGCCGATGTAAATCGGTTTTGATATTTTTATTTTATACTCAATCAACCCGATTTGTACAGGTGCATAATAGTGCAGATCTAATAAGGAGCTTACAATCCTGATAAATACACCTCAGAAATCATTAAAATATATATATATATTCTTTAAGAAAATACTATCCTATTAAGCTGTATCAAACCCACAACAAGTTATAGAATCTACCTTTATGACCTTCAGATATAGCTTACAAAATTGTAACCTTGGTTATCTTAAAACAGACAGTTATATATATAAAGTCTAATCAATATACCAGAAATAACAGAAATGCCTTCTTTTTCCAGTCCTACCAAATTTTAGAGATATAAACCTGTTGTTATGATACAAGAGGTTACGGCCGATTGACTTGAAAAATGTAACTGAAAATATATCCTGGTTGATACTGTGTATTATATGTGCTGATAATCTCAATAAAATTGAAAATACAATTAAAAAACACTCTAGCATGTAATGTATATCAAGCCATTCATTTATAGTATATAAAGGGTTGTAATTCCTATATGTATATCCACTTAGCCTTGTATTTGCAAAAGAACCCCAATATTAAAGCACTAGCATTGAGATTTTATTTTATTCTATTTTATGAGCTATAAGCTATAGGTCATATTTTACAAGTGTGATTATAAGAGAATTTTGTGAGCTACATATAGATACAAATATATATATATATAAATGTGTGTATTATTACAATTTTTTGCTAGATAAACTATCAAAGAATTTGTTTATAGATACACGACAATGTATTTAAGAAAAAATTCAGAGAAAGATATTTTTTATAAAGGGGCTTATCAATTCACATGCAGGTGATCAAATTACAAGGCGTATTCTTGGATTTCCTTTTTATTTTTCTTTTTTTTTGATCAGCAGAAGCACATTATCAAGATGCTTCAAATAATTTCTTTTGATAACTACAGCTATTTCTTTTATATTTTGTACAATTTTATATTCTTTACCAAATACTTCTTGTCTTAATATGTCTGATTCAGTAGCTTTATGAGTAATTTGATAATCTTTGAAAGGAAGCAAAGAGAGTGAGAAATATATTTATGAAACTTGTAATATATGCATGCATAAATTTGTATTTTTTTCTTTAGTTGCCTAGTATGTATTTATTTTGATTGTCTGCATAACCCCCCCCCTATTATGTACATCACAACAGCTTTGCTTTATCTATCAATCTTCTAAGGCCTGGCCTTTATTAAACGGTGAATACTTTTATAAAATACTATAGCATAGCACTACATATAGCAAGAGTATGAGCTCCAGTTTGAGGGTTGGAAAAGCAAGGCCAGTGTTATGTTTTAAAAGAATTTATATGTTTTTGTTTTTTCAACTTGTGTGTATACAGTTATAATCAAGTCTTTTCCTTGAAGAATATGTGTAGACTCACAAAAATAGATGTCCAACTTGATCAGCACTATGCAGCGTGCATTCATTCTTGGCACAACATGCCATTGATAAGCATTTTCAATAGATTTTGTTAGACCAAATCTAGAGCAGTCTCAATATCTCCCTGTCTTTTTTTCTATAAGTATAGAGCAATTTTTGCAAACTTTGGTTTTCCTTTTTTTCCTTTTTCTTTGTACTAGCCGCGTCTACTGGAGGGGTCGATGGAAGGCTTCTGGTAATACATGGGTTTGTGTCCGGCCGGTCATCGTTAATACACAGAAGCCAAGATGGTCTTCCGATAGCCATGAGTTTCTTTCTTGTCATGAATGGGTAGTCCAGGCATTTTAAGATAAGTATATGTATTTACATTCTACGCGCAATGAAACTTTGAATACTAATTAATCATAGCCTGTGGAGTTGGCGACTGTAAGAGTTCAAAAGACGTTCATAAAGACTTGGCAATATTATTTTGTTGAGCTTGTTGAACCAATTTTGGACTCTTGCGACCGACCGCTCTCTCTTTTTCTTTCTTTCTTCCAAAAGGACCCGATGGAGTAGTAGCCACGGGTCAACCATGGTCTATCGAGCAAGTCCCAAAGCGCGCGTGTAGCGTGTGAGCCCGTTGTCCGTATTCCCATGTATTACTGGTTGCTTTCTGTCCTCTCTTCTGGTGGGCGCGGCTGGTATCTTTTTGGTTAGTTCCCGTTGCTTGTTACCTCCCGTTGCTTGTTGCTTTATTATGCCTTCCACGGCGGTTTATGTTATTTCAAAGGTACTGTTGCTTGTTGCTTTTTTGTTAGTCTGTTGCTTCCGCCAGTGGGGTCTTTCTGCCAGTGGGTTTGTTGCTTCCCACTGGTAGGCCCTTTCCTCCTACCAGTGGACCTGTTATCTCTCGCCAGTGGACCAATTATCTTCTGCAGATAGGCCTTTTTATATGACGGCCAACTGCCTATTTTTCTTCCATTGTTGGCTCCATTTATTTTTCTGGCCAATTCATTATTTCCACTGGCGGGTCCATTTATATCACTGGTAGGAGCCATTTATCCCACTGGCGGGTCTGTTGCTTCCTGTTGCTTCCATCAACAATCAATTTGCCTCTGTGGCGGAACAAAATGGTTCCATTCCTGCCACAAGATTGTTGGCTATCTCATGCCTTTTGGGCACGTCGTCAAAAGCCGATACGGCTCACCAGAAGCCCAACAAGGGGCGCAAGAGAAAAGGCCAAACCGGCCAACAGCACAGGCCCAAGATGCGTGCCAGGTCAGAGGCCAATCCGGCTCACCAGAAGCCCAACAAGGGTCGCCAGAGAAAGGGCCAAACCGGCCAACAGCACAGGCCCAAGATGCGCGCCAGGTCAAAAGCCAATCCGGCTCACCAGAAGCCCAACAAGGGGCGCCAGAGAAAAGGCCAAACCGGTCAACAGCACAGGCCCAAGATGCGCGCCAGGTCAAAAGCCAATCCGGCTCACCAGAAGCCCAACAAGGGGCGCCAGAGAAAAGGCCAAACCGGTCAACAGCACAGGCCCAAGATGCGCGCCAGGTCAAAAGCCAATCCGGCTCACCAGAAGCCCAACAAGGGGCGCCAGAGAAAAGGCCAAACCGGTCAACAGCACAGGCCCAAGATGCGCGCCAGGTCAAAAGCCAATCCGGCTCACCAGAAGCCCAACAAGGGGCGCCAGAGAAAAGGCCAAACCGGTCAACAGCACAGGCCCAAGATGCGCGCCAGGTCAAAAGCCAATCCGGCTCACCAGAAGCCCAACAAGGGGCGCCAGAGAAAGGGTCAAACCGGCCAACAGTACAGTCCCAAGATGTGGTCAAGATCAGGGACAAAGTCCAAAATCAAATCAAAATATCTAGTCAAAAAAAAATGAAAAACAAGGGAAAAAATTCAAAACAAAAATTATACTCACAATTATCTTTACCAAATCAAAAGTTATATATACTAGCACAATATCCAAAATAGTCAAGTCAAGATCCATTTCTATGTCCATGTCCAAGTCCATGTCCAAGTCCAATTCCTTTCCAAATGGTCAAACAATGTCCACGTACTGCTAGAGTACTAGTTTTAGAACATACATACATACAAGCATAATTTCTATCAAGTCCAAAATCTGGGTTATACTTCCAAATCTCAAGGCCAAGCCAATTTCCAAGCAGGGGTCCAATGCAAGTTCCAAACAAAAATTATTTCTTCCAATGGCAAATTCAAATCTCAGGCATCATCCTAAGTCCTGTGGCTGTGGGGGGATCCTCAGAGTC